GCACTCCACTAGAAGGAGAAATACCCTGTAAGTTAAGCTACAAGCTGGGGCTTCCCCAAGTACATCTCTTCAGTGCATCGAGGCATGGTTTGCGTGTCTCTCCGTTTATGAAGCTTGTAGTCTTGTGTATTAGATCAAAGTTTCCCCACTGCGGAGCTACTTGCGCTTTCTGTTCTCAGCGCGGCCTCCCCAGCTGTGTGCTTCTCTTCGGACTGTGCGTTCTCGCTTCCTGGATGCATGATGCGGAGTAGACATTTCCAAACTGCTCAAGGTGCCATTTGTTTTCTTTGCCTTAAAAAGTGCTCTGCCCCTCTTTGAAAACAGCCTCAGCTGCTTTCTTAGCAGGGTCTGACCTCTCGAGTTCCTCTATTGCTTTTTTCTGAGCATGTCTAGAGGATCATTCTGTGGCTGTATTTATCCTCTTCATTGGATCTCCGTAGCAGGGACTGATTTTAAAGCCTAAAAGCACAACCCCATCTGTCTTGTGCCTCAGGGGCATAGTAAAGAGCCCTGTCCTGCAACCAGTGAGCCTGTGAGAGATCTCGCTTGCAGAAATGTTTTCACTGTCCACCAGACCTGCCTATGGCAGAATGATGAAGATGGCAGGTTTTAATTCATTTTCCCGAGTGGCTGCACTGGACCTTCAGACTTCTCTTTTTCCAAGTGAAACTCGTTCCTCTTCATTGGCCCTGATGTTCAGCGGTTAGATTTTGGGTTTGAAGAGGACAACATTTCTTGCTATAGGATTGATTCATTTATGCTTTGAGGCGTCAGCAAGTTGCATGAGAGCCTGGGGAGATGCAACGCCATCTTGGCATCCGTTGGCTGGTGACACTTGGGTGGCCTTGTCCGAAAGGTTGGTGGGATGCCCTTGCCTGTGGGCACACGAGGAAGAGAAGGTAAATTTGTCACCGTAAGGACTGTTCCAGCCTTCCAGCACCTTGTTTGCAGCCTGGTAAATGGACAGCGTGAGACTAACTCCTGGGGATATCCCTCCTCTCCCCTTTCACTGGGTGAGTCCTAACGATAGCTGGGCAGAGGGCTTGAAGGTAAAACCATTTTTCATTGCCCTCTGACCATTCGGGAATGCTTTTCTTGCTGCCTGGCGTCCCTCTGGGAAGTAAATCACAGTCGCAGTAGAGGGCGGTGTGTTTGTCCCTGGAGGCCCCTGTCTCCCAGTGACCTTCTCAGCTCATGAAGACAGCTTGGCTTTGCTGTAAAGCAGCTCATGTGACAGTGGTAATCCGCAGCTAGTAAACAGCTGTGCAGGAAGATTGCAGGAGAATCGCCCTATTTTCCCTGCACTGCAGACCCTGGCAGGCCAGCACACAAGAGCAGGATGGTGGCTTCTGCTTGCTGTGAGAGGCTGCTATCTCCTTGGCTGCACGAGTCCATCAGCAGGTTGGTATTTTTGAAGCCACACCAGCCACTGCTGTAAAGCACACTCGCCAGGTCAGGAGCACACACGTGCTTCTGTGAGTCGACGTGAAGCTGTGAAACAGGTTCCAAGAAGAAAAAAAAGCAATTTCTCCTGAAGTGGTTTCCTCTAAATCTTTTCCAAAACCAGAGGTGGCATTTCTAAGCCTGAATTTGACTTGTTCCTCCCACCCCCCCATATCCTTTGGCTGAATTTATTCCCTGATGTGTAAAAATTCCTTTCTCAGTAACACTTTCTGATGGCTCGCGTGGACCCCTTCTGCTCCAGGGGCACTCGGTCACTGCTGGATTTTTTGCCATCTGCCCACAGAAAGTTAAAGTGTGCCCTGGAGAAGACAGAGACTCTAAGAAGGGAAAGACTGAGGGAGCACTGAGCTCGGAATTGGTTTAAAATTAATCATGGTATTATTTGTCACTCCCATACCCAGCTTACAGATCGTAGCAAACTTTCCCTCCCTATGGGTTTGCCTCCTTGTTGCCACAGATCCCTGAACTTCCTCATCTCTGTTTTTCCCCCCATGATTTTAATCTTCAAAACCTCAAGCATGTCCAAAGGGACATTCAGTAAACGGGAGCTGGTGCTGACGAGTCGGAGGAGCTGATGACAGCTCAAGCAGGCAGTCTTAGACCGAGATCCAGGCTTGTGCAGCCAGAGGTTCCTGCACCGCGCAGGCAGCGGGAGCCCTAAACTGCCC